TTCTTCTAGTCGTTTCCGTTCTTTGAAATAGCTAGAGCAAAAGCAGGTACTGATAGATAGCGCGCCGTATCTAAATAGTGTAAAAAAAATTTACTCCCGTTTTCATTCCTTGGATTGGTCAGATCAAAAACACGGCGTTATGAAAAATAGGAAGACAGAGTTTCATGCAAACTTGCTTTCTTTTTTTCTTGCAAATAACAGGAATTATTTCTAGTGTATTGAATCGCTTACCTTTTCACCAACTATATAATGTATACAGTACAAACTGAGGGGAAAATAACATATAACAGTTAACAGTCTGCAAAGTTTGGTATTTTGAACAAAATCCCCCTGTACTAATTGTACCCGAAAGTTAAACACTGAGAAAATTTTTTACCCGATGAAAGATGTCATAAAGAAACAAGTTTTGATGCTTTTCCTGAATCAGTTGCAGATGAAATGACGAATAAAGGAGCTCTGTTGTCACTGTTTGCCATGACAATACTGGTTTATTGTACCATGGTGGATGCTGGACATAATCAAACGTCGGAGTGCACAATGGTAAGAAACAATTACATGGGGTTGCATGCGGAAGTCGAGATTCATAGACTAACATTGGTGAAACAGGAAGACGACTTGTGGGAAAAGGCACGCCTCCAAAGCGGTTATTATTCCCACGAAATCGACGAAAAGTACGAAAACCAAACATATGGGATACTCACAGGATTTTTACTCATATATATATATAAAGGCTCAAAAAATGCAGACAAGCTAAAATAACGCATCCGGCCTCACTGTATTGTTCTCACTTATTAGTCACGCATTAAAAGTCCGTCTCCGACAGACTAGGTGATCGATTCCGAGAACACCTTCACGACATATAAAGGAATGACAAGGAGGCATCAAAACCAGTCGCTAGACACCTAAGTCTCCCCAATCATCCTACGTAGCATATGGTAGTCTGTGGCCTTTCCTTACATTTAGTTTATTCTGAAAGCTGCAAAGCTATAGCGAGGAACTTTAATTTTCAAATCGGCACTCTTAATCCCCACGATATCAACAAACGCTTTTCATTCAACCAGTTTAAACTTGTTTTTCTCGTTACCATGTTCTGACCAACAGCGCAGCTACATTTCATGCATATAAACAGACACAAAATCCAAAAGAAAAACAATTTTGTGAATCAAATGCACTCATCGTGTATTTCCAACATAGAGACCTTCACCTTGTTGTTACGGACGAGACGGACGTGACGGCCGTGACGGAAGAAAAGGAGAACAAGGCGAGCGGGGCAAAACGGGGAAGACTGGATCCCAGGGACCTCATGGTCCCAAAGGAAACCCAGGTATGCCTGGGGATGACGGCTCACCCGGCGTAAAGGGAGATCGTGGATTTCCTGGGAGACCTGGTGCAGCGGCTGTCCTGAACTGGAAAGAGTGCGTCCATAATTTCCTGAATGATGGTAGAGACAACGGACTTATTAAGGTGAATTTATCATTCATAGTAAAGTTGTGATCCTTCAAGTAAAATTTTTATAATTGTATAAACTGCATTGCAAAAACAACCTCTCTATAAATCTCATCTAAGTATTTCTCCTACTGCTACTACTGTTGTTGTTGTTGTTTTAAGATAGAATTAATGTTTTGTCATAATTCGTGTCGTGAAGACTT